GGCATCCCTACAAAATACCTTCAGCTTCAGACAGATAGACCAACCAGAGTTCAGTCCACCTTAAATAATAAACATTCTAAAAGTGTGCAGCCTCCACAGAGTCAAAATGAACAGAGAGAGAGAGAAAGAGACAGGAAATGAAACTGAATCACTCACACACACTCACACAGGTCAGTGTGCTGAAAACCTAAACACAAACATTTCATCGCTACTGGAAAAAACCCTCCATCTCCAAAATGAAACTTTACAGGAAAAGAAAAAATATGTTTAACTAAAAATGGAGGTCAATGTAACCAGATTTTTTTAGATCAGTTTGGAGTGTTTCTTTGGGCCATTTATCAGGAATTTTACCACGAGATAAAAACTGACCAGAGTTTTCAAATTATGCAAAAAAGTAAAAAACAATGAAAATGAAGCTACAAGGCTCTTTGTGCAACAGCGATAATTTATTCCCAGTTCAGTGTTTATGAGCGTGTTCACACTCAGCAGACTCGGTTCTGTTATAGTGAACTGTTCTGTTGGTGTGGTTCATTACAGAGAGAGACAAAGTGAGAGAGACAAAGTGAGAGAGACAGAGAGAGAGAGAGACAGAGAGAGAGAGAGAGAGAGAGAGAGAGAGAGAGAGAGAGAGACAAAAAGAGAGAGAGAGACAGAGAGAGAGAGAGAGAGAGAGAGAGAAAGACAGAGAGAGAGACAGAGAGAGAGAGAGACAGAGAGAGAGAGACAGAGAGAGAGAGACAGAGAGAGAGACAGAGAGAGAGAGAGAGAGAGACAGAGAGAGAGAGACAGAGAGAGAGAGGCTTGCAGTGTTTCATTTGAAATGCAAATCAGAACTGAGTCACCTGACGTTGATGCCAGAAAACAGCGTTACCGTGGCAACGCTCGAGCGCTTAACGCTGTAGGAAACTCCAAACTCCTAAAGCTCCGACCAACACCAACACACAAGCACGGGTCCCAAACACAGCACACCAATCAGGAGGAACCGGGAGGAACAGTCAGGCCGACAGAACGTCACAGAACATTTACTGTTAAGTCATTTACAGTCTGACTGCAGAGAGCCTGATACACTGTACTCTCTCGTCAGTTACACACTCACGCAACAGTTACACACCTACATACACACACACACACACACACACACGCACACACACATACATATACACATGCACAGCAGTGTCTCTGGGAGGAAGTGAGTGTTTGCGATGCTCAGCTGTCCTTTTGTCAGAACTCTCCCATCATGACACCGTCAGCAGAGCTTTTGTGTCAAACTGCGGTTGGGGGGAGGGGGTGTTGGTGAAGGTGATGGGGTGAGTGGGGGGGTTGTGAGGGTGAGGGTGAGTGGGGTGAGGGTGAGGGTGTGTGGGGGGGTTGTGAGGGTGAGTGGGGGGTGGTGAGGGTGAGAGTGAGTGGGGGGGTGGTGAGGGTGAGGGTGAGAGTGAGTGGGGGGGTGGTGAGGGTGAGGGTGAGAGTGAGTGGGGGGGTGGTGAGGGTGAGAGTGAGTGGGGGGTGGTGAGGGTGAGAGTGAGTGGGGGGTGGTGGGGAGGGTGAGAGTGAGTGGGGGTGGTGGGGAGGGTGAGAGTGAGTGGGGGGGGGTGAGGGTGGGTGAGGGGGCGGTAAGAGTTTTGGGCTGTGTGGAAGCCACAGTTCCCACCCATTCATTATAATAGAGCTAGTATGCTAATAGCTGTGCAATAACGCCCAGCAGAGGAATGTGTGGAATCCCTCAGCTGCTCAGCGTCCCACAGACAGCTCATCACTCACGGGTCACTGTCCCCAAAGACTCGGCACCGTCCACTCGGCCTGCACGTCCAACACTGCTGAACTCCGACCTCCATTCAGCTCCTCCAGGAGATGATCAGCCTCTCACACTGACCCACAGTGGCAACTACACAATATGTGGGCAGGGACTCCTACAGGGACTCCTACAGGGACTCCTACAGGGACTCCTACAGGGACTCCTACAGGGACTCCTACAGGGACTCCTACAGGGACTCCTGAGAACTTGAAGGAACTTCTGAGGTTGTACTTTTCGGTTTGAGTTAAGATCCAGTTCAGATTTCTCATCAAGGCTTTAAGAGACTCTCAAACATGAAAAAGTCACATGAAGGTCACAGCCAACTGACAGAATCTGCTCAGAGCTTTCAGCAGATTATTAGTCTGACCATCATTTGCTGACTGTCTTCCAAACGGACCTCCAGAACTAACTGGACTAACTGTGATTTTTAGACTGACAGACTGTCAGAGCAGATGACAGAGATGGAAGCAGGTCATGGTCACTCCTCATCATTCCCACAGTGGGGCAAAGATGAATAAAGATGACCGGCAATCAGTCTTTTACAGGAGGTAAACATCTGTCCTCGCTGTGAAAGTCCTGTTAAATGGAGACGTCTGTGTTTCCTGTTAATCTGTAAGCGTCTGTGTTCGGTCGAGTCCTGGTGATGAGGAACTGCACTGTGGTGAGGTTCTGCGTCAGTAATCAGGATTTCTGCTTAGGCTTGTTGTGTTCACACTGAAACACTTCCTCCCTGATTACTGTGACACTCCTGTGTAGCGGTGAACGTGTGAGCGAGGCTGTGCAGCAGAGTCAGACGGTAATAAACACACACGGGATTATAAACGATGATGGTGTTTAAAAGTAAAACAGTTTTAAAAATGTAAAATTTCTATTCCACATCTAAACAGACAAAAACACGTTTATTTTAGAAAATCACTGATCTGCTAAAAACATCTCACTGTACATCAGTTAAATGTGTTGCCTATTATAGTTTTCATTATTTAATACTTGTTTGTATTTACATTATTTATTGTTCATTATCACTGTTGCTTCACTCTAATTATTTTTATTATAACTACTATGAATTTTACATTTGCTATTAATTCTACAAAGTATGTTCAGTTTTGAAGTTTACATGCTTTGGCAACATTGTACATCATACAGTCACATCAAAAAACTACTCTGAACTGAACTAGACGCTGCCGGACACTGCCGTGGACAGAACACAGTGAGAGGATAACAGACACTAACAGGACAGGAAGGACAGGTAAATAAACAAAGGGATAAAAAAAAAAAGAAGAAACTCGACACACTGCTGTTACACACACACACACACACACACACACACACACACCCTGCAGTCATTATACTCACTGACCACTACCGTCCATCACTGCTGAGCGAGAATGACAGATTTAAAGAAAAATCTGTCACCAATTTTCCAAAATTCCCCTATAATTCAGCGTGTGAGGTGTAATCAGAGTGATTCAGAGAGGTTTGGTGTGAAATGGTTCAGATGTCTTTACAGTGGTGGTGATAGGAACCAGGGGTCGCCATGACTACAACACAAATATAGACATTTTATTTACTATCCAGAACCACCAGTGAACCTACACGAGTCTTCTGAGTTTATATGGAATGTTGATGATGGAAAATAGTGGAAAATCTGAAATAATAAGTTTTCTTTGGGGACTATTTTGCCTCACAGCGCCCTGCATGTATCCCTCCACCATGAATGGAGCTTAAGTTCTCTAAACTATCATAAAACAGTGTTTCAGTCATCAGGCAGTGAATTCATAACCATTTCATGTAGGAACTTTCTATGAGGGAGCTTTTAGAGGTGGACGTCTGGTTCCTATCACCACCACTGTGAACAGTTCTGACTCTGTAAGTTTATCTAGAACAGAGCGTTTCACACCAAACCACTCTGAATTCCCCTTTACTAAATAATTAAATAAAATAATACACACACACACACACACACACACACACAGTTCATGAATTCCTTTCATACCATGTGTGCAGGTGTGTGTGTTTTTGTCAACCATTAAAACTTCCAAATTAATTTAAAATCTTTCTTGCTATTAAACTCAGTGATTCAGTTCCAGCCACTCAAACCAACATCTGCTCAACAGCAGCACAAACAGAGGAACAAACCTGAACTTCACTTACATTCATTTTACACCACTGGACCACCAGCTCCACCCACACCAGTAATAAATAAAACATATAATAACAATGATGACAAAACTAACTATAAATAACAGAGTGACCTCGGAGGGTCAGAGATGACCTCATTAGAACAATACATCTGAAAACGACTTGTTAAATTTCAGTAGTGGACGGCAGTGAAAATCACCTCTAACAAGGTCCCACCCTCTAAACAAGGGGTGGGATTATCATTCATTCACTCATCTCCATTTTTATTTCTACCGTGTATAATCACTGTTATATCTTAACACAGACTACAAACACCATACTTTTAACATTACCTGATTTAATGGACATCCTTAATGGCGCCCCCTGCTGGAGCAATGTCAGACTGCTAGACGTGAGTTTTAAATCCATGAGCTTTACGTATAAAAAAAGCACAACAAACCAATTTATCCCTCAATCAGCCAGAACAGAGCCGACGGCACAGGATCCACCGACACTCACAGCCGTCAGATGGTCAGTCACCAACACTCACAGCCGACAGACGGTCAGTCACCGACACTCACGGCCAACAGATGGTCAGTCATCGACACTCACAGCCGACAGGACACTGTGGTGTTCCAGAGTTTCAAACACACTGTAAAAACAGCTCGTACACTCACACACACACACACACACACACACACACACACACACACTCACCACTTTCTCCTCTTTCTGGTTGTCGGACGGTTGGAGGCTCCACTCAATGTCCAGTGGTCCAGAGTCCTCGGTGGCCAGAGTGAACTGGCAGTCCAGCTTCACACTCTCACCGCTGGCCTTCTCTATGGAGGTCGGTCCAGTGGAGGTGATCTCCAACCCACACACTACAAAACACACACACACACACACACACACAATCATCACATCAGTACAGCTCTACGGTAGAACATCACATCAGCACAGCACTACAGTAAGAAATTACTATAATACTGTATTACTATATTATAACGCTATATTATTACTGTGTGTATATGATTGTGTATGTGTGTGTATGTATGTGTGTGGATGTGTGTGACTGTGTATATGTTTGTGTGTGTGTGTGTGTGTGCGTGTGCGTGTGCGTCTGCCCTGTGATGGACCGGCGAGGGTGTTTCCTGCTTTCTCCACGGCCCATTAGAACAAGCTGTGTAGATGATGAGTGAGTAAATTAGGATGTTTGACCTGCTGATTTTCTCATTCCTCCAACACTGAACGTTCTCACACTGCGAGACGTCTGATCTCCTCCAGCTGCTTCAGTTCAGTGAAGGAGATAAAAACCACAGCAGCCGTCAGTCAGACAGACACACCTGATCCTCTCGTCTGATCAGGCGATATCAGAGTTCTATTAATCTTATGAGCAGCATCTGTTTGTTTGGAGTGAAAATTTCAGCCTCACTGACACACTGAGGGTCAGATCACTGACCGCTGATCTTCAGACAAGCAGAGTGTGGAACACAGAGTGCGGAACAAGGTTCTATGTTTAATGATGTTGAGAGCTTCAGGATTCACCTTTCATCACTTCAAATCATCTTGAATGAATTCAACACACACAGAAAATCATTATGTCACACAGCAGTGATAAACAAACCCAAACAGGAAGTTGCAGGTGAGGTTTTATGTCACAGTTTCAGCGTTTGGTGATTCAGTGTGCGGAGCGTCTCTGACTGAAACCATCGAAACTGCTGAACCTGAACATCCAGTTTTAAACACACAGCTGCGTCGCGATCAGAGAGAAGATAAACCAGCTCCCAGTCAGACCGAGAGACAGACAGACAAAGAGACAGGCAGACAGACAGACAGACTGACATCTCCATTCAGAACTTTACACAGTGGAGTGTCTTCAGAACAGCAGCAAACACAAATATTTATTCAGTAAATACGCTGCAGTTTGTTCAGGTCCCGTCAGTGAAGCACAGAGAGGCTGGAGTTTCAGTATCTACACGCTTCCACTTCAACGAGATCAAAGTGATTCTTTTATCTGATTAATCACTGCGTGACCCCAAAGCTGCACTGCATTACATTAAAATGATTAAAGTATTATTAAATAGCAGCTCAGTAACAGATCAGAGCTGCAGAGGACGAGACTTCAATCAATCATTTCCAGCTGGTGGATCCAGAAACGGGGTAACCGTCTAACAGGACCCCCAGGAGCTCCCCAACAGCCCCCTCAACAGCCTCCTCAGCTAAAGATCGACAGCCAATAACAGAACTACAGCCTCCAACAAGCTAAACTGTTCAGAGTGAGAGTTCAGAGAGTGAACATTGTGAATGTACACTGTAACAAATCCAGAGCAAATAAAAAAACAACTGCAGAACAAAGCTGAGTAAATAAAGAACAAATCCAGAGTAAAGCTGGTTTAAGTGAATGAAGAACAGCCTGGTTCAGGTGTGAGTGACGTTTCTGAAGGTTCCATTACACTTACCCAATCAGAGCGCCGGCCGCAATGCACTCGCCCAATCAGAGCACAGGCCGCAATGTACTCGCCCAATCAGAGCGCAGGCCGCAATCCACTCGCCCAATCAGAGCGCAGGTCTCATTTCACTCACCCAATCAGAGCGCAGGGCCCATTTCATTTGCCCAATCAGAGCGCTGGTCTCATTTCACTAACTCAATCAGAGCGCAGGGCCCATTTCACTCGCCCAATCAGAGAACTATCTGATATTATTTACCGTGTTCTCAGTTTTAAAGGAGATCAGCTACTGTAGCACCACCTCTTTCTGTCTGTCTGTGTCTCCATCTGTCTGTCTGTCTGTCTCAGTCTCTCTCTCCGTTTGTCTGTCTGTCTCAGTCTCTCTCTCTCTGTGTCTCTATGGGCTGTGTTTATGAAGCTGTAATAGAGGAATGCTGTAGGAGGATGATGAGCAGTCAGATACACACACACACACACACACACACACACACCCACCCACACACACACACACACACACACACACACACACAGACTAACTCTCTCTCTCTCTCTCTCTCTCTCTCTCTCTCTCTCTCTCTCTCTCTCTCTCCCTTCTCTATAACAGATCCTGACACACTCTTAGCCTACAGGCAGGAATTCACTTTAACTTTATTCACACTGCAGCAAAGTGTGTGTGTTTTAGGTCTGTAGAGTGTGTGTGTGTGTGTGTGTGTGTGTGTGTGTGTGTGTGTGTGTGTGTAGTGCGTAGAATGCAAGTAGTGTGTGCGCAGTGTAGTGTGTATTGCAATGTAGTAATTAATCTGAATTATGTGAAGGATCTCACGGTAAGGGGGCAGTCTATGAGGGATGCGGTTCATGCACTGTGTAGTGGGCGGAGTCAGTATGTGAATGGGCGGAGCCTCTAGGGTTCAGTATCTGAGGGAGGGGCCTCTGGCTGACAGAGCTCTGATCTGAGGAGCCGCTCAGGTGGCTGTTCTACACTCACTGGAGCAGAAAACAGGAGTGACCTTTTCACGAGTGAAACATCACACTCTAAAAATACTCTCTGACCTGAATCCTCCACTCCAGCCAACAGCAGACGCTTCCTCACCGGCAGGAACGTCTCCGCACACGCCTGGCCTACACCAACGCTGCACCCTCACATCTACACCAACCACATCTACTCAACCACGTCTACACCAAATCTACACCATCCACGTCTACACCAAATCTACACCAACCACATATACACCAAATCTACACCAACCACATATACACCAAATCTACACCAACCACATCTACTCAACCACGTCTACACCATCCACGTCTACACCAAATCTACACCAACCACGTCTACACCAAATCTACACCAAATCTACACCAACCATGTCTACACCAAATCTACACCAACCACATCTACTCAACCACGTCTACACCAAATCTACACCAACCACGTCTACACCAAATCTACACCAACCACATCTACTCAACCATGTCTACACCAAATCTACACCAACCACATCTACTCAACCACGTCTACACCAAATCTACACCAACCACGTCTACACCAAATCTACAACCACATCTACACCAAATCTACACCATCCACATCTACACCAAATCTACAACCACATCTACACCAAATCTACACCATCCACATCTACACCAAATCTACACCAACCACATCTACTCAACCACGTCTACACCAAATCTACACCAACCACGTCTACACCAAATCTACACCAACCACATCTACACCAAATCTACACCAACCACATCTACTCAACCATGTCTACACCAAATCTACACCAACCACATCTACACCAAATCTACACCAACCACATCTACTCAACCATGTCTACACCAAATCTACACCAACCACATCTACACCAAATCTACACCAACCACATCTACTCAACCACGTCAACACCAAACCTTCACCATCCACGTCTACACCAAATCTACACCAACCACATCTACTCAACCACGTCTACACCAAATCTACACCAACCACGTCTACACCAAATCTACACCAACCACATCTACACCAAATCTACACCAACCACGTCTATACCAAATCTACACCAACCACATCTACTCAACCACGTCTACACCAAATCTACACCATCCACGTCTACACCAAATCTACACCAACCACATATACACCAAATCTACACCAACCACATATACACCAAATCTACACCAACCACATCTACTCAACCACGTCTACACCATCCACGTCTACACCAAATCTACACCAACCACGTCTACACCAAATCTACACCAAATCTACACCAACCACGTCTACACCAAATCTACACCAACCACATCTACTCAACCACGTATACACCAAATCTACACCAACCACGTCTACACCAAATCTACACCAACCACATCTACTCAACCATGTCTACACCAAATCTACACCAACCACGTCTACTCAACCACGTCTACACCAAATCTACACCAAACCACGTCTACACCAAATCTACAACCACATCTACACCAAATCTACACCATCCACATCTACACCAAATCTACAACCACATCTACACCAAATCTACACCATCCACATCTACACCAAATCTACACCAACCACATCTACTCAACCACGTCTACACCAAATCTACACCAACCACGTCTACACCAAATCTACACCAACCACATCTACACCAAATCTACACCAACCACATCTACTCAACCATGTCTACACCAAATCTACACCAACCACATCTACACCAAATCTACACCAACCACATCTACTCAACCATGTCTACACCAAATCTACACCAACCACATCTACACCAAATCTACACCAACCACATCTACTCAACCACGTCAACACCAAACCTTCACCATCCACGTCTACACCAAATCTACACCAACCACATCTACTCAACCACGTCTACACCAAATCTACACCAACCACGTCTACACCAAATCTACACCAACCACATCTACACCAAATCTACACCAACCACGTCTATACCAAATCTACACCAACCACATCTACTCAACCATGTCTACACCAAATCTACACCAACCACGTTTACACCAAATCTACACCATCCACGTCTACACCAAATCTACAACCACATCTACACCAAATCTACACCATCCACATCTACACCAAATCTACACCAACCACATCTACTCAACCATGTCTACACCAAATCTACACCAACCACGTCTACACCAAATCTACACCATCCACGTCTATACCAAATCTACACCATCCACGTCTATACCAAATCTACACCAACCACGTCTACACCAAATCTACACCAACCACATCTACTCAACCACGTCTACACCAAATCTACACCAACCACGTCTACACCAAATCTACACCAACCACAGCTACTCAACCACGTCTACACCAAATCTACACCAACCACATCTACACCAAATCTACACCAACCACATCTACTCAACCATGTCTACACCAAATCTAC